AATAACAGAACTAGTTATGTGTATGCGTAGGGATCACTTCATTCAGTGTTTGATCAAAACATGAGCGCATATAAAAGACAGACAGACCGACAGATACTTTTATTAGCACAGGCCATGTTGGCCCCTGGCCATTTACATATACATTATGAAATTGAGTACAGGAGGCTTGGCGACGATGTTCTGACAAACAGAAAGAAATTATTGAAGGGCTTTAAAAGCTTGAAAACAATATTTTGCTAGCATTTTCATTTCGTTAACATTTTTTTAGTACGTTGGTCTAGTGGTGTAATAATTCTTAAAATAGATAGTTCTTTGTTCAGTATATTTTGGGCATACGAGCGTGAAGTGGAACTCGTCTTCGACTTCCGTTAGATTACACATTGTGCACAAACGTTCAGTGCGTGGTACCCGGGAACTACCGTACCGTCCAGTGTCTATGTTGAGTATGTGGGATAAGAGTCGCTGTTTGCATAGAGCTTTTCTGTGATTGTGATTATTTATCTTCTGGAGGTAATCTTCAAATTTAAAAGTGGATTTATATTCTTTATATAGGTAAAGCGATGATGAGTTTTCCAAGTTGGACTGCCAAAGTGTAATGTAGTTATCTTCAAGTCTTCGTCTGAACACTGGGTTGAACTCGCTAGTGGTAGTTAGAGTTGGGTTTAACCATATATATCCAAAACCGTTCTGTTCAAGGAGAGATTTTATTTCACAGGTCCATTTTGAAGAGGTTTGCATCATGGAGTTTAATATTGTTTGTAAGATGCTGTTCTCTGTAGAAAAACAAGTTTAAGCCAATACTTCACCATATTCACTGATGATAGATAAAGGGAAGCGTCCCAAGTTCTCCATATAATTTAATGTTACTTGTACTGTCCTTCACTCCTAATAGTTGTTTAAGAAACTTACGGTGTATTCTCTCGATTTTTTCTGCTTTCATTGAGCCCCATATTTCACTTCCATAGTTAAGGACTGGTGCTACAAAGGAATCGAAAAGTTCAATCGATGTTCGGATATCCAAGTTATGTTTCCTGATTTCAGACAGAAGGGCATTCGCTGATTTTGTTCCTTTATCTGCAAGAGCGTTTATAGTTGTGGTATATTTTCCGTTTGATGACAAAAGCAGTCCAAAGTAGTTAAATTCGTTCATGATTTCCAACATGATATCCACAGTAAGTGGCGAGATTGTCTAGACAGTTCTGTAGTCCATCTGGTGTTTCGCTAAGTATAACCATATCGCCCGCAAAAAAGCAGCAGGTACAGCATTGGGTCATCTACATTAATCCCAGTATCATTTCCCTCTTGTAGTTGCTGTTCAAGATCTTCAATAAAAAGTGAGAAAAGAAGTGGGGAAAGGATTTCACCTTGTCTTAATCCTAGATTGTAATTGAATGTTGGGCTTGTCCTGTCCCTCAGCTTGACACAGGATTTAACATTGCTGTACATGGACCGACATATCTTTATTACATTGCCGTCTATACCAATTGTGTACAGTTTCAGCCATAAACCATTTCTGTAAATACTGTCGAACGCCTTTTGGTAATCTATAAATGAGCAAATTAGGTTTCCATTTTCGTTTAGACTTTTTTCTATTAATGCTCGTAAAATGAATATTGAGTCAATGGTGCTATGTTTGTTTTTAAATCCAAACTGTGCATCTGAAATAAGATTGTTTTCCATGGCAAGTACGTTCAGCCTTGTATTTAGAATCTTGGTAAATAGTTTTCCAAAGTTACTGAGGAGGGTGATTCCTCGATAATTATCCGTATTTGCTTTACATCCCTTCTTGTGTATAGGTATGATTTGGCCAACTGTCTACACCGAGGGGGAGTGTCCGGAATCAAGTATCACATTGAATAAGTTCGTGATATCCTGTCTAAGAGAGGTCTACTATCACGTCCAGATATTCTACCAACATTCCATCCTCTCCGGCTGCTTTTCCACTTTTCATATTCTTGAGTGCTTCCGTAAGTTCTTTTGATGAGATAGGTTTGTTAAGATCCTCATATGTATTATTATCGCTGTTTTCTAGGTTCCCAATGTCTTCTTCAACACTATGATTTGTAAAGTCAATATCTGTATGGTTCGAAAAAGTAATTTAAGTCGAGTTCATCCGAAATTGGATTGTTTTAATTTTTTCAGCCGTTTCCAGAAGTCCTTAGGCGATTTCTTTACGTTCATTTGCTGACTTTTGTGTGTAAAGTCTTTTCATTTTACGTACATTCTGTTTGTAGAGTTTCCTGGACTGTAATACGTGTTGTCTTTGGGGTAAACCTGGGGATTTCTTGAAACATTTTTTGGCTAATTTAAATCTTTGTCTTAAAGTGTAACATTCATTATCGAACCATTTATTAAAATCTGTTCTTTCGAATTGTCCCGGATGCTGTTTCACCGTATGTTTGAAAAAGTAGTCTGCAATATTTACAACTTCGAATTAAATGCTTTTAAACTCTCATCTACACTTTCTGGAGAGTCTGTGTTTATCAAGCAGTCTTTCAGTTTACTGTATTCCGCTGTTATCGCTTGAAATATCAAATAAATACAGTAGTTTCACTGACAAAGGAATCTGCAATGCATCAGTACATCAGCTTCTGGCTTGGCTCTAAAACATGATGATATATCCATTTTGCTTTTGTACTGGATTCCAAAGCCCCGTACAAGGAGAGATATATTGCTGAGTCCAGACACTAAGCCACCAAGTCCCGGGCTCAAAGATTAAGCAGAATCCTTTTTTTACAATCAAGGAAGGACTTTCTCTATATTCACAGAAAGTATTTGGGACAAGTGGAATGAATTCCAAGCAGACTCCAAAACCTCAAATAATTTGCTTGCTTTGTTGCTATCTCAGACAATAACTAGCTTCACTTCTGTCAAACATCTGCTTGTGTGATCTTTGTACACAACAAACTCCCATGGCAAACGTAAAGAAAACCATCTTGTGCTTAGGTAGTTTGTTCCTAAAACCACGTGACCGTAGATACCTTAACCTACAGGATCAGGAGGAAGAACTAAAAGTGAAGGTTTTCTGGGGTTTACTAAGAAAACAATGTGAAATGGACTTCCATGTAAAATGTGGGAGTGAGACATTTAGACAAGAAGTAGACATCCCATGGGCACCGATATGTCCCAGTCTAGTGCTGATTTCATTCTTTGTGTACATGAATCTTAGTTGTGCTCGGATGATCAAATCAAGGTACATTTAAGGTAAATCGATGTCCTGGTATCCTTCAATAAGCATAAAACAGCCGTCAGTCTCAAAACATCAAAGTCAATTTAGCTCTACCAAACTTTTAATCGCAGTATATTTGTTATTTTTAATACTGGCTAAAACTCAGCATATTCGCCATCGGCTGAAGGGATGGTGTAAATCCAGCTAGGGTCCATGCAGGTACCAAAAGTACTGTAAGTCCCCATGGACCCTAGTATGGTGATCTACCTTTAGTTGTTGGTGATCTATAGCTCGTTTTTATTTTGTACTGTCTATACTGATTTTATTTTATGATAGCGTACTAGTTTTAAATTTATATCTGTGATGCTCTAATATTTTTACTGTCTTCGATGACAGCTTTTTATGTTCTAAATTTATTGATTTTAATATTGATATATATAAACTTGTTTTCGTCACGATATGGCTGAAATATTGCCTATGTGACGCTAAATATTAAGTCACTCACTCACTATGAGACCAAGCACCCTATTATTTTACATCACATGTTTGTCAGTGCACAGATAACACTTATTAGAAAGTCACTTGAATATCATTATGTTCTCCTTTCACCTTGTTCTTGGCACACAGCCATCTAGGAGGGTGATCGGAAACAAGGCATAGTAAACAAGTCATGGGAAAAACAATAAATAATAAAAACATCCTTTTCTCCAGTTATTTGCAAATACTAATTCAACAACAACTGTTACAAAAACGTCCTATTCTCCAGTTATTTATACTTGTATTATACTTGAATAAATACTTTAATTTAGGTTCAAATGTGTTTCAGAGAAATTGCTGATAATATTGTTATGACTTTTTTGATAAATACATTATCAATACTGATTTTATTTTGAGTTTATGACTTATTTTCCTCCCCAAATCAATGAACTTTTTCCCATGACTTTTTTTCCTACAACCTCTAGGAGTACCTGGGGCGGACCTTTCTGGGATGGGACATACGCTGCTCTTCCTAGGCCAGCTCATTAATTCAACAGGGGTGGACAGCATGGCTCAGCTAATTATTGTACTCGTTGAGTCTGTCTTATGGGAAGTCTGTCTTTTGGAGTGAACCTTTTAAATTGATTCAGGGGAAAAGAGTTAACAGCTCCATCGGGCAATAAATTCCACGACATAATCGCGCTCGGTAAAAATGATTGAGAATATCTTTGCGTTCTACAATTAATAGTTTGAATGGAAGTACTATTTCTAAGATTATAGTTGCTTTGTTCAAGTACTCTACCTGGTACAAGATCGTTCAGATAATCAGGAGTCAGACGATAATACATTTTATAGAAAGTTATGAATTTAGAGCGATGTCGTCTTTCTTTCAGTGTGCTATAATTAATTTCCCTGTATATTTTATCGTGACTGGTGCCACGAACCGCACCGCTTATAGTTCTTAAGGCGTCTAAATGTAAATTTTCCAGTAAAATCGCCTGTTCAATCGTACAATTATCCCTTGTATGACAGCAGTAATCAAAAAGTGGTAAGATAAAGGAGTTGTATAAAGTATTAAGCGTTTTCCGAGATAAACGATACTTCAAACTTCTCAGACAATTGATCATTTGACTAATTTTCTTTATCACGTCACCTATATGAACTTTCCAGGAACAACCGCTTTGAAGTGTTATACCTAAGTGTTTATGGTTATCCACTTCTTTAATAATTTCACCATTCATTAATAAGTTCGGTCTGACATAGATTTGCGTTTTTCGAGTGAATGTTATACTCTCACATACTAGGATTAAAGCTAACTTGCCACTTTTTAGCCCAATCTTAAATGTTTGCCAAATCATTGTTTATAATTGCGGCTGCTGTAATATGATAGGAAGGTAGGTGTGACAGGTGTAGAGTTGGGAAGGTCTTGTGACATGTGTAGAGTTGGGAAGGTGTTGTGACAGTTGTAGAGCTTGGAAGGTGTTGTGACAGGTGTAGAGTTGGGAAGGTCTTGTGACATGTGTAGAGTTGGGAAGGTGTTGTGACATGTGTAGAGTTGGGAAGGTGTTGTGACAGGTGTAGAGCTTGGAAGGTGTTGTGACAGGTGTAGAGTTGGGAAGGTGTTCTGACAGGTGTAGAGCTGGGAAGGTGTTGTGACAGGTGTAGAGTTGGGAAGGTGTTGTGACAGGTGTAGAGTTGGGAAGGTGTTGTGACAGGTGTAGAGTTGGGAAGGTGTTGTGACAGGTGTAGAGCTGGGAAGGTGTTGTGACAGGTGTAGAGTTGGGAAGGTGTTGTGACAGTTGTAGAGCTTGGAAGGTGTTGTGACAGGTGTAGAGCTGGGAAGGTGTTGTGACATGTGTAGAGTTGGGAAGGTGTTGTGACAGTTGTAGAGCTTGGAAGGTGTTGTGACAGGTGTAGAGCTGGGAAGGTCTTGTGACATGTGTAGAGTTGGGAAGGTGTTGTGACAGTTGTAGAGCTTGGAAGGTGTTGTGACAGGTGTAGAGCTGGGAAGGTGTTGTGACAGGTGTAGAGCTGGGAAGGTCTTCTGACAGGTGTAGAGTTGGAAGGTAGGTGTGACAGGTGTAGAGTTGGGAAGGTCTTGTGACATGTGTAGAGTTGGGAAGGTGTTGTGACAGGTGTAGAGCTTGGAAGGTGTTGTGACAGGTGTAGAGCTGTTGTAGAGTGTGACAGGTGTAGAGTGTTGTGACAGGTGTAGAGCTTGGGAAGGTGTTGTGACAGGTGTAGAGTTGGGAAGGTCTTGTGACAGGTGTAGAGCTGGGAAGGTGTTGTGACAGGTGTAGAGTTTGGAAGGTGTTGTGACAGGTGTAGAGTTGGGAAGGTCTTGTGACAGGTGTAGAGTTGGGAAGGTGTTCTGACAGGTGTAGAGCTGGGAAGGTGTTGTGACAGGTGTAGAGCTTGGAAGGTGTTGTGACAGGTGTAGAGTTGGGAAGGTCTTGTGACATGTGTAGAGTTGGGAAGGTGTTCTGACAGGTGTAGAGTTGGGAAGGTGTTGTGACAGTGTGTAGAGTGTGGGAAGCTTGTGAAGGTGTTGTGGTGTAGAGTTGGGAAGGTGTTTGACTGACAGTTGGGAAAGGTGTTGTGACAGTTGTAGAGTTTGGAAGGTGTTGTGACAGGTGTAGAGTTGGGAAGGTCTTGTGACATGTGTAGAGTTGGGAAGGTGTTCTGACAGTTGTAGAGCTTAGGAAGGTCTTGTGACATGTGTAGAGTTGGGAAGGTGTTGTGACAGTGTGTAGAGTTTGGGAAGGTGTTGTGACAGGTGTAGAGTTGGGAAGGTGTTGTGACAGGTGTAGAGCTGGGAAGGTGTTGTGACAGGTGTAGAGCTTGGAAGGTGTTGTGACAGGTGTAGAGCTTGGAAGGTGTCTTGTGACAGGTGTAGAGTTGGGAAGGTCTTGTGACAGGTGTAGAGCTTGGGAAGGTGTTGTGTGTAGAGTTGGGAGGTCTTGTGACATGTGTAGAGTTGGGGAAGGTGTTCTGACAGTTGTAGAGGGAAGGTGTTGTGACAGGTCTTGTGACATGTGTAGAGCTTGGAAGGTGTTGTAGACTGGGAAGGTGTTGTGACAGGTGTAGAGTTGATGTGCAGAGACAGTTGTAGAGCGTGGAAGGTGTTGTGACATGTGTAGAGCTGGGAAGTTGTGACAGGTGTAGAGCTGGGAAGCTGTCAGAACACCTTCCCAGCTCTACATCTGTCACAACACCTTCCTAGCTCTTCACCTGTCACACACCTTCCCAGCTCTACAACTGTCACAACATCTTCCCAGTTCTACTACAGAAATAACGCGTTCCCAGCTCTTCACCTGTCACACACCTTCCTAGGTCTACACCTGTAACACACCTTCCTAGGTCTACACCTGTAACACACCTTCCCAACTCTACAAACAGCATCTTCTACAACTGTCACAACACATATGCCGACAAACCACCCTTGTTGATTCTGTGCCCGGACTCAGACGTTGTACAAACATAGCTATTGTTACAATTTTTTGCATAAGGGATCGCAGCATGAAGCAATATCATTTCAGAAGCCTATCTTACTTAGATTCCTCAAAGTTAGGTAGGTTTCCATCAGTAAATTTTGAAGCTGATCTCAGGCGCTGGATATATGAGCCTCGAGCTCGCCCGGGAATATGTCACGTGACAGGACGCGAGATGATGCGAGAATAGCAAGGAATGATAGCATTACAAGTACCTCACTTTGCATTGAATACAAATTATGGCATCCCCGGGAAAGCGAGCATCGTCTTACCCTGTGTAATAGGTCTAAGCTCCTGCCTATACCAGCCTCTATATTTACCGAGTATTGATTTGACTTATAATTGAAATATGGGGTTTCTTTGCACAGATATCTATGTCACTTGTGCGATTTTAAACATATGGTTGAATAAGTGCTCATTTGCTTGTTTTAAATATAGTATAGGACACACCGGCATACTATCAAGGCAGTTTGATTCCAGACATGCCATCTGTTCTTTAAAATCCTAGCATACATACAACTATGATTCAGTTACCTTGCTTCATTTGCCTACAGTTATATTTCATGCAGTCAAATTCAGGCATGTACTCGTTAAAGTAAGACACCTGCATTTTTTCTGAATATTCTCAGATTTTAGATTTTGTAGAGCAACACACCTATATACTTCCTTACCAACTTCCCAATCGTCCGGGGCGGGGCGGTAGCCTAGTGGTTAAAGTGTTTGCTCGTCACGTCGAAGACCGGGTTCGATTCCCCACATGGGTACAAAATGTGAGGCTAATTTCTGGTGTCCCCCGCCGTGAAATTGCTGGAATATTGCTAAAAGCGGCGTAAAACCATACTCAGTCACAATCGTCCTTATTCATAGTAATTCACCGCACCTGCCTATTGACAAACATTTACCATTTCAGCGCCGTATTAGCTTTCGAGTAGTCTAAATGTCGGAATAACGTATACGGAGATATAGCTATTTAAAGAATATATTGATTCAGCTCAAGACTTCTCAGTTGGTTTATTTGACAGTCTATCATATTTATCTTTATGAATTGAGATTCAAATACGTTATAGGAAACATTTACACATCAATGTTATCAAGTATTGACAGTAGAATGCAACCGAATGATGCTTTAATGGCTGAACAAATAGAAATGCTTTCTGGGTTTTTACTAATTACACGATTGTGTATTGTCCTTACCAGTATTGTCGGTATACATGCGGTATTTCAAATATAACATTAGGGCAGCATTTTTATTTTCTGTGTTTCTCATCGCCCGACCAACCCTTCTAATTTTATTGCCAATCCCTCTCCCCAACCCAACCCAACCCCCAACCCCAACCCCAACCCCCCCCCGAAAAACCAACCACTCTTTTTTCATTCCAACACCGCGGACTCGAACCTAAAACGTACCGCCTCGTCATATTAAATGTTTATCCTTTAATCAGTCGCTGCTATAAATCCAAACGCGCGAGAAAGTGTAATAACAATTACAATAAATGAGAATCAAGAACATTATTCAGATAATTTTGTCTATTAAGTTGAGTTTTTTTGCCCGACCGACCGACCCATGTTCAGAATTTGGTGGCTACGTGAAACACATAAAAAAATGATGCCCTTATGGGTTTTCTCGCCGACACAACATTAAAATATAACCAGATATGGACACGCTGGTTATATTTTAATGTTGTGTTTAAATAAGTTGTTGACATCCTTCCAAATCGATAGCCTGAAGTTTTTCAAATATTTTCTGGTTTTCAAACTTGCAAATTGCAAATACTTATCATGCTATGACGACGAAATCGATTCTATAGATTGAGTGCTTCTTAAAGTAAAAAGTAATGCGAGTATCAAAGAAACGTGGATTATTATCACCAGTATAGGGTATTTATACACCCTTTTCAGTGCCACCGGTTCCAACTTCTGAGTCCAAAACACACACTTTCAACACTATTCCTGTTTCTAGAACATTTTAAACACGTTCGACAGTGATACGATATTTGATATTCGTATATGCACTGTCACTAGGAGTTAGTGAGTTTAGTTTTACGCTGCTATTAGCAATATTACAGCAATATCACGACGGGGGACACCAGAAATGGGCTTCACACACTATATCCATGTGGGGAATCGAACCCGGGCGTGACCAGCGAACGCTTTAACCACTAGGCTACCCCACCGGACCCTGTCATTAAGACTGACTGACTGAGTATGGTTTTATGCCGCTTTTAGCAATATTCCAGCAACATCACGACGGGGGACACCAGAAATGGGCTTCACACATTGAACCCATGTGGGGATTCGAACCCGGGTCTTCGGCGTGACGAGCCAACGCTTTAACCACTAGGCTACCCCACCGCCCCCTGTCATTAAGAAGTCATGTTAACTGTTAGTGATGTCATGTGTTTGATCGACGTGTATGCGGCTGTTGTTTTATTGGAAATGGCAGTAACACAGGTCGCAGGGCTATGTGTTCTATCCGCAATGGAATGTTGCAGAACATGCACAAGCTGTTGAAGACCTATCGACGTGTACTTATGCCTAAACGGTAGTTCTGATAACACATTTCAGACATAAATCTGAAGGTAGACGGCAATCGATGTATATCAACAAAGACACAAACTTAAAAGAAGAATTACATGATTATAAAGTTATTCGCTGATGTGAAATGTGAACATTTGTCTGGTAAGCTTAATCAGGTGTAAAGTCAGCTGAGTCACAGCCTCCGTCCACAGGTTCCTGACACATCCAAGGGAAGCAACTCTGATCAGTGGATTGCGGCGCTTTAGACAACTGGGGCCCTGATTTTCAGTTGAAAGTGTCTCATGTCAACGATATTATATCGTACTTGCGCTCAATCATCACTCTTCTCTTCTATTAATTTCAAACTTGTAAATATTAGCATGAAAACATCTTGCATAAGATATACCTGCTGATGGGCAACATATTTTATTAGACACTTTCCCTATGTAAATACAAATATACATTTTAAACATGGCAGAAGTCATGTGGTTACAAATTTATTTCTTATACCTGTCTTCGTTCAGCAAACTTACCATTTTACTTATTGACATGCCACATATCACATATTTCAAACTGTTGCAGGAATGAGTGATGGTTAAATAATGAAATTTAACAACTTTCTTCAATTTCCAGTTACATAAAAACCAAAGTGCGTATACTATATTGTGCTGCTGTAGCCACGAAGGTCAAATAATGAAGTGTTGAATTGTCTGTATTAAAGTTTGTATTTTAACCAAGTCTGATAAGGAAGGGAAAAGTTAAGTCTCACAGCTAAAGTGTAGGCGCGGAATACTTGGTACAGTACTTGGTGTAGACGGGCCAGAGTTTAGTTTTTCATGTGGACTAAACTATCAACGTCGTTAACGATTTCTTTAGCACATCACTTATCCCAATGCAATTCCCTGTTTTAACGTGAACCATATAGCCCTGTTTTGTTCAAGTAAACCTGCCTTTGCATAGGTGACGGATGTGCACGTCGCCGGTGATGTAGGATAGCATCAGATGGTCCCGCACAACTGTTACATTTGAAACTGCTTTTAAGGATGGAAGATGTTTACACGCACGCACGCACGCAAGCAAGCACGCACGCACTTTGTTCTTTGGCTGATTCTGCCCAAACTCGCCTTTATGACGATCTTAGGTCATCTCGCGTTAGTGAGTGACTGTGTAGGGTTTTATGCCGCTTTGAGCAGGCAGTATTCCACCAGCCAACGGTTAAACCTTCGGACTACCTCACTGTCGAGTCGTGTTTGTGGGTTCCGCGTGTTCTTCCCGCAAGACTTGTGACTTCCCTTCAACATTACGTATTAAGGGAGGGATGCGGAACAATCGTATAGTATTGCACGTTTACAGTCACAGTAAACGTACATTTATTACC